AGAAGCTCATGAAGCTGTTGGCAATGCCGTGCTTGTGAACGAAACCGCTAAGCTTGCTGCCCTGGTGAGCGGCGTTGCCAATGGCCTTGTCGTAGTTGCCGACAATGGCCTGGGCGACGAGGGCAGTGTAGTAGTCATCGTCGTTCCAGCTGACACCCTCAACGGCAATGGCGATGTTGGCGGTGGGGATGTTGTCGTCACGAACACGGACATCAGATCCGATGAAGTCGGCCTTCTGCTTGGACAGGAGGTAGGCCGAGGTCTGAGGGCCGGAAGTCGGGAGGCCGCTGAAGTTCTTCTCGGCGAGCTCGACGAGCTTCTCGTGGGGGATACCACCAGCGCCAACAAGGACCATGCGGTCGGCAGTGTAGTTGTTCTTGATGTAGTTGGTGAGCTCAGTGCGGGTGATGTCACGGATGTTCTCGCGGGGACCGAGGATGGTGCGGCCGAGGGGCTGGTGCTGGAAGGCGGTAGCATGAAGGTGGTCGAAGACAACCTCCTCCATCTGCTTCTCGACTTCCTCGGACTCGCGGAGGATGACATCGCGCTCACGCTCGATGGCGGACTCCTCGAGCTTGGAGTTCTGAAGAATGTCGGCAAGAATGTCGACGGTCTGGGGAACATCGGAGTTGAAGGCCTTGGCGAAGTAGACGGTGTTTTCGCGCTAATTCAATGTCAATGGGAGGAAATTTTGATGATTTCGGTCGACGGGAACGAACCGAGGTGTAGGCGTTCAAGTGACCACCCATGTTCTCGATCTCAAGCTCGAGCTGCTGCTGCGTCCGGTTTGTGGTGCCCTAATATTCGTATCAGCATGTGTATCTCATCGCATTGTCGTCGCGGTTTGGCCTACCTTGAAGGCAAGGTGCTCGAGGAAGTGTGCGGTGCCATTGGTCTCGTCGGTCTCAGCCCTTGAGCCGGCGTCAATCCACACGCCAACGGTCGAAGTCTGGGCGAATGGCGAGTAGTCGGTGGCGACCTATATCTCAATTGTCAGATGCAATTCGCGACGCGGTTTTCGAGGCCAATTGAGCCACATGTCGGATGGGTGGATTGGATTGCGTACCGTCAGTCCATTCTTCAATGTTGTCGTCTGAGTCTTGCCAAAGGGGGTGTTGGAAGGCGTGGCGAAGCCCCGGGTAATTGGGCTCGCTCTGGAAAGAGCAGCCCGGCTTCGCAGCCCCTGCGAGAGGTTCAAAGCTAGTCTCCGGGACGCCATGGCGGAGTTGTGGAGGATGGGGAGTGATATGAGGTGTTTGATGAAATCTTTCGATGAGGTTTCGGCTCAGAAAGCTTTCGCCTTTCGAAAGGCTGTATGTGCCTTGAAATCGAGGCGCGAAGTCGGCTTCCGGAATGCCCCGGCCCAGCAACTGGAGCCAATCAGAGGAGGTACGTAACTAATCTGCGGCCCCAGTACACTGGCACCACCAGATCCACCGTGTGTTCAATCTAATATTTTGTCATTGACTTGTTTTCCCCGAAAGCAGCTGAAAACAATTATCACTTAATAATACCGGTTTTGTATCGACCCAATGACGTTGAAAGAGCCTGCCTTCGTGATACCTTACCACAAGTCTTTTGTTGTCTGCTGTTAATGCTTCATGGCGCATAGTCGTCCCTTCCTAATCGATGAATCATTCTTCTTTCCCTTTTGTCCGCAAGTGCCAATTGGCCAATTAAGCGGATCCTGCCCTGTGCCCAGGCGACAGCCGCTCTTGCGTCAAGTCCCAAGTCCCAGTCGTGCAGCTGAGACCTTTGGGATGAGCTGTTAGTGCAGCAGGTCGGTCACAGGACTGCCATTTTGACTTCAATGCAGATGTCAGTCTCACAGACTCCTACATAGGATGAGAGCATGTTACAGCATTTCAACTTGAGTAACCGAGCAAAGGCCTCTTACTCTTCTCACTCACCATCAATAAGACACTCATCACTTATTGCCTCATCGCTTGCACATACTTCCCTCGTGGTTTAGTAACCCTATGACATCAAGATGCCATCAGACAACTACAACTTTGCCGAAGTCTTTCAGTCTCTCTTCGTCTCAAAGCAAAAACCGGCCCCAGAAGCCATCACCGACACCATGAAAGCCGTCATCCAGAGCTACCCACCCCTCGGTCAGTATACGCAGATCTCAAATGGGAGTCTTCCTGTCACGGCAGTCCTAGAGATACCTGCTTCGCGTGCAGGTGAATCCTGGGAAGTTGCGGTGTGGCACTCAAGTGACGGAGCCGACTGGAGTGAAACTGCTCTTGCTCGCATCGCCGACGAAGACGCCCCGACGACCTTGCAAGCTATCCCAGATGATGTTCGACGGTTATTCTATTCCGCCCCTGTTTCTTTCAAAACATCGTTCCAGTTCACTCTCAAGTTCCGACACTCGTCAGATGAGCCATGGAGATGGACTCGTGATGAGCTAGGAGTTGGTGATGGCACTGTGGTGCTCAACTCAAGACCCATTATTGAGACTGTTTCCGAAAGCATTGATGACGTGGTGTCTGGTCTGAACCCTGCATGGAAAGTGAAGTCAATGATGAGCCAATGTCCCGGAACTCGGCTTTGGTCACTTGAAGCTACTATTGATGCTGTTGATGGAGATGAGTCGAAGTTTGCCGACATATCGCTAGGCGTGCCTTGGGGAGGGTTTTTAAGGTAAGCCTGATCATCAGGGATTCGCTGGCCATCAAGTTCAAACTCGTCTCGAGGATCATCTCCCTAGTTCCATTTTCATCCAGCGGCGTGAGATGCTGACAAGAATAGGTGGTTTGCTCTTATCCGTATCTGGACGCCCTGGCTGGCTCCTCGCCATGGAAAAGACTCGTTCCATCTCGACAAAGACGGCGTCCTCTGCTCATTTTTGAACTCCGAGGGCAAGCATCTTGTGTTTCTCGCCGTAAGCGGAGGCAACCATGTTATGCCCGTACTCCGGCATGGCAAGTCTGGGCAATTGTCTGTTCACGTGCGTCGCTGGACCCTATACTACTGGATGAATATAATACTTACTGGTCACAGGCCCGTAATGATAGCACGAAGCCAGAACCTGCTACCATCTTAGTCGGAACAGGTGACAACTTCGAGAGTGCAAATGCATGTGTGATGTATCAAGCCAGACAGTACATCCTTCAGGAGAAGAAAGCCAGTGACGAGCTTTTGGCTGAAATGAAGGCTATCGAGGAAGGGGTGAAACCAGAGTGGATGGAGAATTGGTACGATGGACTTGGATACTGTAAGTTTTGTGAGAATTCGTACCGCTGACTCCCCCCCCCCCCCCCCCCCCCCCCCCCAATTCCTGAATTCCGTCTGACGCACCTCATAGGCACCTGGAATGCTCTTGGCCAACGTCTCACAGACGAAAAGGTCTTTGATGCTGTCGACAAGCTAGCTGAGAATGACATCAAAGTCGCTAGCCTCATCATTGACGATAATTGGCAGACAATTGACTACAGAGGGCATGGCCAGTTTCAGCATGGTTGGTGCGAGTTTGAAGCCGAGCCGAAGGCTTTCCCTCAAGGCCTAAAAGCTACCGTGGCGCACATTCGCCAAAAACATCCGCATATCCAGCACATTGCCGTATGGCACGCTCTTCTAGGTCAGTCGTGCTGTAACCTTTCGAGGTGTAGCAATTACTGACTTGAGCAGGCTATTGGGCGGGCATTTCACCGGATGGAAAGATTGCCAAAGAGTACAAGACGATAGAAGTGATCCGGGAGGATGCCGAGCGACGCAACCTGCCCCTCGGGGGCAAGATGACCGTAGTCGACAAAGACGATGTCGACAGGTTCTACAACGACTTTTACAAATTCCTCGTCGACTGTGGCATCGACGGCGTGAAGACGGACGCCCAGTTCATGACTGACACCTGGGTCTCGGCCAGCGCACGCCGCGAGCTCATCGACGCTTATCTAGATGCCTGGACCATATCATCTCTCCGGCACTTTAGCATCAAGACCATTTCCTGCATGTCGCAGACGCCGCAGATCATGTTCTACAACCAGATGCCGCGGCACAGGCCGGCGATCCTATGTCGCAACTCGGACGACTTCTTCCCCGAAATCCCGGCCTCCCACCCCTGGCATGTCTGGACGAATGCCCACAACAGTCTGTTCACGCAGCATCTCAACATCCTGCCCGACTGGGACATGTTCCAGACTGTCCACGACTACTCGGGCTTCCACGCCGCGGCGCGCTGCGTCAGCGGAGGACCCATCTACATCACCGACGTCCCCGGGCAGTACGACCTAGACCTCATCAAGCAGATGACGGGCCCCACGATCCGCGGCAAGACCGTCATCTTCCGGCCCAGCGTCGTCGGCAAGACCATTGACCCGTACACGGGCTACGACGACGACGGCTTGCTCAAGATTGGCAGCTACCACGGCGCCGCCGTGACGGGCACCCCGATCCTCGGCGTCTTCAACATCTCCGCGCGGCCCTTGACGGAGATCATCCCGCTCGCCGCCGCCTTCTCCGGCGTGCTGCCCTCCATGCGCTACGTCGTCCGCGCGCACTCGTCGGGTAAGGTCAGCAAGCCCGTGTCCTCCGGCTCGGCCGCGTCCTCCTTGACGGTGTCGCTGGACGTGCGCGGATATGACATCTTCACCGCCTACCCGCTCTCCGGGTTCGATAGCGAGACCAAGGGGAAGGTGTGGACCGCCAACTTGGGTCTAGTTGGCAAGATGACTGGCGCCGCGGCCATACTCAACAGCGACTTCATGCTGCGGCACGATGGAAAGGTTGAGCTCAAGACTCGTCTCAAAGCGCTGGGCGTTTTTGGTAAGCACATGTGACGTTTGGAGAAGACAAATAACAGCTTCTGATGAGACACAAAAACAGGACTTTACATCTCGAAGCTACCCGAGTTGACGATAGAGGATGACTTCCTCGTCACCATCCAGAACTCTGTGATCCCGGTTCACACGGTGTCCCTCAGCAAGAGCCACGATTGCGTCCTGGAGATTGACATTGAGAAGGCGTGGCAGGAAATGGGTCTTCACCCTGGCTGGAGTAACGAGGTCGAGATGACGGTTGTATTTGCCATTGATCACGAGGAGGCCGAGGAAGAGTAGATGCCTCATCTCCCGTCTATTCCACGGGTGAACTTCCCCCTATTCATAGGAATCATCAATCAAGAAGAAATCAAACATCCATCTGATTCAACATTGTTCTTTGGAAAGCATTATCCCAATAACATTGACTCACACTGCTAGTGTGCTACATCCTTCACTGCTTCTTCTCCTTCGGCTCAATTCCCAACTTCTTCGCCTCAAAAGCAACCGTATCAGCAATATCCTCCCTCAAACTCCTACTCTCCGCCTCCCACCCAAGATACTTGCGCGCCCTCTCTGCCTTACTCTTAGAATTCATCCCCCACGTCGCATTCGCCTTACCATCACTCTGCAATACCTCCTTCATCGTCACCTCCTTAGTCAACGCCGCCGGGAGGTACCCTTGCCTGTGCGCCTCCTCCGCAATCCACTCCGCAACCTCTCTCCACGCGTGCGTCCCGCTCTCGACAAAGTAATACGCCCGCGGCCCCAGAATCTCCGGATCGGCATTCTTGGACGTATCCTGCGTCGCCTCCACGAGGGTGACGAACAGCCGCGAGAGGTCGTGCACGTGGACGTTGTCCCACTCGGCTTTGCCCGGCGCCACGATGGGAGCGAACCCCTTTTCCAGCGTCGCTTGCGCGAGGGAAGGCACCTGGATCGAGCGCTGGTTCGTGGGTCCGCGGCCGCGGCCGTAGATTGTGGGCGGGCCGAGGATGGCGGTGCGGACGCTGGAAGAGTTGCTGCCGAGGACAATCTTGTCAATGTCGCGGTGGATGGCGTCGTCGGGGAGGGAGAGGAGGCGGTCAATGTCGCGGATGTCGTGGTAGTCTTGGTCTGGGAGGGGGGCCTCGCCGTAGCGTTTGTTTCTCATGTCGTACTGGCGGGGGATAACCTCTGGTGTAAGTTTCACATTCTTCTCTATAGGTGAAAGATAAGAGGGGAGGATTCTCTCACCCATTGGAGGATACCGGTGCCTGAAATGTGAAGCCAGAAGCCCGGCTTCTCAGGCGTGTGGCCCTCTGCCAGTCCCTTTGCGATGGCCTTTGCAGAGGGTTCATCATCAGCAGACCCAGCGGTGTCTAGTCCCTCGTCGTCAGCATCTCATCTCTGCGCTCTAGCTCTCGGCAATTCCATGAAAGATCTTGGAAGGCGGGGGCTTAGATGGCAACATACGAACAACAACATCAGCAGCCGCGGCCTCCTTTTCAATGACACTCGCGTCCTCCAGGCCGCCAAGTACAATGCGAACCTTGGGATACGCTTTTTTCACGGGAGCGGCGCGCTCTTCATTGCGCACGAGGACGGCGTACTCGTATTCCGGGTGCTTCTCGTAGAGAGCATAGAAGGCGTCGCCGCCGATATAGCCTGATCATCTGTGTTAGAAAATAAGAACAATTGAAGTCACTGGCCTCGCGAATTTCCATATTGGAGATGATAACAAATCTAATTCGTACCGGTAACGCCTGTCCTAAGATGTAGATTAGCTATGGGACCTTTGTAAGAGCATTACCACCATGAGGCTGCTTACAGAAAGATTTTGAGAGTCATATTGCAAATCTCGGGAATTCAGCAATACCTAAGTGATGACAAGGTTCTGATGTGTTGAAGAGCAGCAAGATGATGTAAAAGGTCTACAGACATAAAGAGGTGGATGTCCCGTCTCGTGGCTTATAAATTACAAGCAACCCCGCCTCCATTGAACGTCGTTCGTCCGAGAGTTCAAGACAGCTTATTAATTCTACTCAGCAACCGCTCAGCGACCCCTTGTGCCCTTTCCGTGGAATGCATGCTGTGGTGCCCCCCCCAACGAGACAGCTATCCTAGTTCGGTGATAGACAAGTACGATCCCAAACATGTCTAGAAGCATGGGAGACTTAACCCGCTCGTGCCCGTCTAGTTGCCGTTCTCGCATTTTAGGATGCAGTGGGGTCATCCCGACGACTGTACCTACCTATAAGAAATTGAGGGGTTGCGGTTCTACAGGTTGTGTGACATCATGGATCAGCACGCCTTTTTTTTTTTCCCTCTTTTGGTGGCGCCTTCGTCCCGCTCTTTGTTTGTTGCTTAAACTGTGAGCTGGTTGGAGCTTGTCAAAGGCGTAGTGGTTGTGTTGTATTGTGCTTTGTAGATCCGGGTTGACGATCCGTGGAATGGTCTAGGACCTCAACACCCCGCTCCTCTTGCTGCCCGCATTCATGTAGGTACTAGCAATGGAACTCAAGGTCTCGAACGTGCCTGCCTTGGCCTGGAAATATGAGACGTGAAATTCCTTATTGAGCTACTGTGACTAGTGTAAGAGAGATACGGGATCTTGGAGTGCAGTCGGGTAGGTGAAAGTCCTGCTCTGACCATCCATCCAAGTGTATCGGGATACTAGAGGCGAGGTAGTCACCAGAATGTCTAGCAGTCGTTATAATTTCGATGTGACTCACAAAGCTCCCTGAACTTGCTCTCATCTTTCCAGTCTAGCTTGCATGAGTTGCTGCACAAACCTACAGTTTCTCCTGATCCGGACACATCCACCTCGACTTATACGACCCCACGAACGGGCTGCTGCAATGTCTCAGACATGCATTTCAAGCATCCGGATGAGAATACGACTTCAAGAGGACCTATCAGCGACTTCGAAGCTAAAGTATTGGGACACATTGGCGAGATCGATGCTGGTGTTTGCTCATCATTATATTCAAGGGCGCTCGTGTTGTTAAGAACTCGAACGCGCCCGTCGATGGCGGATTCGAGTCCGAGTCTTTTTTCATCTCATATCGTCTATGTGTCATCTCTCCAATCAGTTTGCCATCCAACTTTTTGTAACCCAAAACGCCGGCGCGATGTCACGTTTTCGCGCGTGTCCTTGTGTAAAGGGACCGAGGTAGATCATGTTCAAAGGAAAACGACCGCGCTTCATTGACCTTGATACCTCGGTTGGCATCACGGCCAATCATCCCGCGGCAGGTATCTATGTACTTTCGAGAGCTGAGGCCGTGCCAAGTTGAATCGGAGACAACAGCCCGCCCATCAAAGATATGTGCTGATCACCGGGCTTGTATGCAAGACCCATGTGGTCCACTCCCGTGGTGTACTTTATGCGTCTTCGAGGAGGATGACGGTCTTGGTGTCGCCGAGCTTCTCACGGCCGTTCAGGCCGGGTATCTCCAGGATGAAGAGGTAGCCGACGATCTCGCCGCCGAGCTGCTTGATGAGGTCGGCCGCAGCCTTCGCGGAACCACCTGCTTGGTGTTAGTGGACCTGTACGAGCTATCTTTGGGGAAAGGATGCGCAGTTCAGCACAGAGTATGTAGCTTACCAGTAGCAATGATATCGTCGACGACCAGAACCTTCTGGCCAGGCTTGATAGCATCCTGCTGCATCTGGAAGAAGTCGGAGCCGTACTCCTTCTGGTACTCGGCGGTAACGCACGGGCCGGGCAGCTTGCCCTGCTTGCGCACAGGAGCGAAGCCGGTGCCGAGACGGAGAGCCATGCCGGGGCCGAAAAGGAAACCACGGGCGTCGAGACCGACAATCACGTCGGGAAGAGTCTGGAAACCCTCCTTGACCTGCAACTCAAGGGCGTCGCCGAGAGTCTGGTGAACGGTGGGGTCGAGGAAGAGGGGCATGATGTCGACAAAGTCGATGCCCTTGATGGGGAAATCGGCAAAGTGACGCAGAGCGCCTGTGAGCTTCACCTTCCCACTGGCGAGTTCGGGGGAGGCGGCGGAGGCGGCGGCGGGCTGTCGTCCCTGGGCATCTTGAGGGTGGACGGGATGGGCGGCCAAAGGGTTGATTGTAGCCGCAGAGGCGTCGTTTGAGAGGGGAAGTTGTTCGGAGGACATTGTGAAGAAAGGAGGAGGGAGGAGTGGGCTGGTTAAGAAGGTCTTTTGGACGGGTTGGAAAGCAATGATATGAGTCTGTATCTAGGTTGGCAGAAGAAAATTTTGGGGTCGGATCCCGGAGAATAGACTGAGTGTGAGCGAGAGAGGAGGGGGGTGGGACGCGAACAAGTGGCAGGTGGTAGAAACGACGGTAAGGTTAGGTTGGCAAGGTAGACAAGGTGCTGAGGGTACGTGGAGATTGTATTGGAGCTGCTAAGACTACGGAGTTACTAGGTACCGGTTCCTTATTCTGACCGAGGGGTTATGGAGGGGTGAGGAGAGGTGTGTGTGTCCGGTGTGTGTGTCCAGTGTGTGTGTGTGTGTGTGTGTGTGTGTGTACCCGTCGGGACTGAACTGAGGTGTGTGAGAAAAGACTGTGGGAAAGAGAATGGCAGGCTAGTCCAGCTCGGCTCGCCGGGGGTGGAGAGAGTGAGACAAGGCATGAAATCACGAAAGCAGGCTGGCAGACGGCGTGCAGAGAGGTCAATAGGTACAGAGTAATAATTGTGTACGTCCAAGGGTCATGAAGGTACGGAGTAGCAGAGGCGGGAAGAGAAAAATGAGGAAGAGAAAAAAACCTACTAGGTAGCGTAGACTCCGGAGAGTGGTGAGAGTGAACGCGCGCCATCGATTAGCAAGTGGAGAGTTGTGATACGGGTAGGGTGTCACTACGTGTGGTGCGAAGTGGGCAGGTCGATTCCAACTTGTCCAAGAGTGGTCCGCCGCGAAAATGACAGCGATGAGGGTACATGGCCAAGCTGATCCAAGGCTTGATAGGAAAAGCTCATTTAAGGCGCTTCGGGATATGCCTAGATAGGATGGCGAGCCTCCATTATCTTTGCTTTTCCTTTGTCTCTCCCGAGCCCTGCCTTTCCATGCTCTCTCTGCCCTTTCATTGACGCCCAACATGTGAAGCCCATTGTATTGAAACATACGGCTCATGAGATTTCACGATTACTAGGAGATAGAGAGGTGCTGTGGGATCCGCAGATGAACGGCCAATAGGTTCCTGGAAACGCTTGATTCCTTTCTGGGCTGTTTCTCGTCTCTCAGGTCGCGCGATATCGTATCTGGCTGTAATAGCAAATGGTAAGCCGGCAACGGTGCAGGTGGGAGGTGGGATGTCTTTCAGCCAAAATTGCCCCTCCATCGCAGCAACGACCCCTCCATATCCCAAGGCAGGGGACCTTGGACCGTGGACGAACGGACCAGGGAGCGAAGAAGCAGCACCCCACCATGCCACCACCTCCGAGAAAGGGACCGTGACACAAGCTGTCTCTGTCTCACCCTCGCCAGGCAGCTCAGCACAAACGCAATGAAGCCTCTGGATGTTGCATGGCACACTATCATTCGGGCTGTGAATTAGAGATAGCTGGTTCCCTTGCCCTATCCTTCTTACTGCCGCCTCTTTCCTCGTCGAGACAAGCTGACGGAACGTGGCTCCGGTGCGCATAGTAATCATGTCACCGCCTGAAGAGTGTGAGCTGGTTTTCGGTGGTGCAGCTTCGTCAAGCGCTGCAGGGAAATCTGCCTAAGTAGGCTGCAGGTCGACGACATGAACTTTCGTTGTGAATGTGGTTTGCTCTGAGGGACGAAGTACGGAGTACCAGAACCAGAGGACATTTTAGCCTTGGACCAGGGCCCTTGTCTTTTCCCTGTCCGACACCGATGAGGAGGAGCGCACCGATGAACGGCGAATGTGGTGCAGTGTCCTGCATGCATGTGTAGGTGGTACAAACATGCCGTGCTATTTCATCACCACAATCCCCATGCGGATAGCGCGGAGCAAAGCAGGCACGGTAGGCTGTTCGAAATAACGCGGAGGGCTGTCAACGGCTCGGTTGCAAAGACCGCTTGCGCCATGGCGATGTTGCGGCGACGAGAATTGCACTGGTGTCGATTTCGGTGTGAATTATTATGCTACTTTCCCAGGTCAGTTATTGAAGCTTGAAGTAAAGTAGTATTATGGCGGCTCCGTTGACAGCCCCCACCGCTACAGTTCTGGACTCCTGAAGACCCGATGATACCGGAAACATCTCAGCTCGTTTCAAACGTCCGAATTACCGTGGTTTGAGTGAACGTGTCAAGGGTGTATAACAGGAAGCACGAATGTGGTGATGTGGAGCAGAAGAGCTGACGATATGGCAAAGGAGGTTGAGACGTACCTCACGCAGCGGAACTCCAGCGGAGAACAGTGAAACAGAAGACAAGGTCGAGGCACCGCGAGATAAGTAGGGAAAGTACATGATCGGTAGCAATCTTGAAGTGTTGACTTGCATAAGGGAGGAGCGTTCTTGCTCATCTCCTCAGGCCAATGTTCTCTTAGATACCTACCTTACAAGATTATCCTCTCATTCATGGCAAGCGGAAACTACCTCAAAGCTGATGGGCTCCTTCCTGCTCCATTTGGTCTCGAGGCAGGTGGTCACTGCGTTAGGTTCTTACCAATATTTACTTGAACCCAAGATACGAACACCATGGCTGCAGTCTACCTACTCTAGAACATACCATCTATGCTCCTATTTTGCTTCTAGATGCATTCGGCCCATGCATTACTCTCTTCCCGCAAAGCCAATTATAGAGTACAGACATGATAGAGTCAACCCGATGTCTTGGCTGTGGTCCTTGAACTACCGATTTCCATCCTCTCCAGCCAAGGGAGCGCTTGCCAACTCCATGTACCTGTGCCTGTACGGCAGTCGAAACATACCTAGTTACCTGCCGTATCCGTATGAGCACAATTATACGGCTACTCGATAGATGATTTTGTTCAGGTCCATCAATGCTCAAACCTGGGCCCAAACGGAACGATCAAGCTACTGCGGCAGATGTTCAGGACTACTCCTACGTACTACACCTACGCCCATTCCTTGTACTCCGTACTTGTACTTGCTTCCATATGTTGAGGGCTTACTGCGTACATCTCACAGCCAGCCCACTTGTCCAGTACCTGTCTGACAGGCAACATGCTTCCTTGTTCACATACGGTCTTCGGCCATCAGCAGCAATAGGGGTCCTACCGCTGTGTCATTTCGTCAATTATCAACTTCCACCCCACCCATTACGTCGAGAGGTCTCGCCCCTCCACTATTCCCATCGAGCCAAACACGTTCCGAGAGACAGACAGACCACCGCCGCAGTATCCTGCTATCACTTCGCATTGAGTCACGGCCGCGGCCAGGGTGTCTGTCGAATCACACTCCAAAGATCCCCTGTGAACGACCTGTGCCCCCGCGCCCTCGACAGGCGACGAGCCGTATCACTTGGGATAACGCGTTGAACTCAAGCGCCGGCGTATTGAGCTCCCAGCAGCCGCCGAGTCATCCCACTACCACACCACAATGTCGACCACGCACGAATCCTGCCAAACAAGACTCGACACCTCAGTGAACCAATACATAGAACCAAGGTATCCGTTTACCTTTGTCTGTCTATACTACGACATGGGAAGGACTCGGTTCTGCCATGGACGGGACGGGTCCATCTTCTTGGCAACCCCATCAGATTCCGTCCGAATGTTCGAGACCATCTTATCCGATCATTTCCGCCCAGCCGCCCGTTATCCTGGAACCTTCCTTTCCGATTCCCAGCATGTCACTGATGGCCCAGTTCTGGAATTCGAGCTTCCATCTTCCCTCCATCAGCTTCTGAAGATCTTCATCCGTCTTTTCGCCCCAAGCTTGGGAAAGCTTGTGAACAGTGTACCTGGTCGATGAGGTCTGTGTCGCAAACGCTGCTGCCGTATTCTCCACCGCATCAATACACTAGCAGCCCGTCCCACAGTCATCCGATTCCGATATAGATGCCAAATGGTAAACTACCTTATAACATCCAAAGGAATCACTGCCTATAACCACAATACATGCACAGACATCTAGCGTCCCATCCCAGGTCGGAAGCCATTCCGCCAGACACTTTTAAGCAGTGCCACCCCTGGTCCTTCTGCTGAGTGGCCCAAACCAACATCTTTTTTGTCATCGATTTACCATCGGGCCCCCATGGAGCCAAAGACGAGACGCGGCCTCCCCACGGACGGTGGGACTCGATTTCATCGGGCGGCTCGAACGGAGATGCCAGCCGCTGTACCTTGTTGTCCTTGCCAGGCACCGTTCTCCCCTCAAGCCCTTTGGAACTTAGATGCCTCCGCAGAATGCCGAAGGATAATTGCCTTTCCCAACGAAACACCGATGGATTCGCTCGGTCAGCCGGGAGTCATTGTGAATTGCTTGCAACACGCCAACACTATGAGTCGGAAACAAGCTATGGAAGCACTTCCTATGCGAGCCGGGGAATATCGTAGCCGCAACAAGAGACGGGAAGCTTCACATGTCCGGGGCCAGCGGCGACCAAGATTGGGTGCATTAGCGGCGTCCAAAACGCTCCGGCACAGGGGGAAACGGACCCGTTGACGCAACCTCCCGGGAGCAGGTTTTCTCAACCGGACGCCTTATTGACGGCCTCTATTCTTTCCGTTTGGCCTTGGAGAACTTGATGATGCCGTACCTCCGGCGCCGCTAGCGGGTAGTCGGTGCCAATGAGTCAGTTTTTCATGGCCGACCATCGAGCGACCTAATCCTCACCGCTACTGTCTATGTCTGGTATCATTGGCTCCATGATCTGAAGAAAGAAGGAAAAGCTCCTAAGATACAATATGCAATTGTGGGTAACTATTTGCTGACGTCGCTCAACTTTTTGGGGGGAAGATGCAGCCAGAGACTATCCGGGTCGATGTCCTATTCGTGCCAGGTGGCACTGGTATCTATGATAGATGTTGGTCGGCTGCAAGCCGCCCCCATTCCAACTCGCCCGGGGAAAGCGGCTGCCCATGGATCAACTCTGCGCGCTGATGATGTTTTTTTGCTTTGCTTTTTCCTCGTGCTGTCTGCCTGTCAGGCAATGTCATCGTCCGCTTGAACCGTCGTGGCCGGCCCTACCCAAAGTGAGATGAAGCTCGCGCTCGGGTTCCATGGGTCTATACTCTTCAAGGACCGCTCAGCGGCTTCACTCTTACAAGTGGGCAGGGGCGAGCCGCACCAGAGCTTGACCGAGTCGCCGTGCTCGGGATGAAGAGGGTGTCAACCGCGTGTCATGGCTCAAAG